AGCCATCACGCTGGTACAAGCAGGCTTTTACTTCTTCCCACCTGTTAAGTTTTTATTGCTACAAAAATAAATCATACCATCAGAGATTCAAGGATCATCCGTAAAGCTGTCTGCCTCTGTTTACCCTGCCTCCTTCTCAATCATTGTTGAACATGTGCTTCAGAGTTCAGCTGCCTTGCTCACAGTTTCTAAGGAATTAACAGAACTCTGACAGACTTCTTAGTAGACTACCTGAAGTTGCTTTAACAGGTAGTTGTGAGACTGTGATAAAGATGCATCGTCTTAAAAGTTAAAGCATAAATTATATTGTTTCATTACATTACAAAACTGTGCTGCAATCCGCTGAGTGCCTTGTCCAAATGGCTCCTCCATGGCTGGCTTTATTAGGTTTTGAGGAGATGTGTGGCTCTTAGGAGAGAACTCTAGAACACTGATGCTAAGACTATGTTATACTTCTTCTGCATTTATTTTCCATTATTTACACCTCCTTTCTTCTGTCTGCAATGGATGATCTGCATGTGTTGTTAAATGCAATAAGATTAGGCTTTTTTCCCCAGGATAGTCAACTTGTGCCCTTATTGGCAAAATCTTAGATTGTTTCTTTTTTCTTTTTCTTTTTTCTTTTTTTTTCAAAATGGTCTCTTCTTCTGATCACATTTATAGAGAGAGGGAAAGAAAACACATCATGAGACTTAAAATAAGAAACTTTTTTCTACCAAACTAGCAACCTAGAATCCTTTCTTCTGTCATTTTGAACATGTATTCTACCTGACAATTGGTTACCTGTATTAACTATAACTGCAGGTGTTTCATACAAATCCAAAACTTTTTTTTTTATTTCAAAGCAAATAATGCTACCAACTTCCTGTAAATATTTATTTTTATAGTTCTGAAATATTTTGTTCCTCAATTATTTATACCATGTTGCACTGCTATTCATTACAAGGATTTATGTATTCTAAAATATTTATATTCTTATTTTCATATGTATCAGATGCTAACACATCCTTTCTAATGCCTATATTAAAGCTAATTATTTGGTCCTAACCATTAAAAGCACTAGATATATTTTGAGCAGCACAATTAACCTGCGTAGTACTTACTGCTTAAATATGCTGTATTCTTATATCTGAAAAAGCAATATGAACACATGACTTTGTTTTTTCAAAATGGAAAATAACATCCCTCAGCACTTTCCTGGTAGTAAAATGCTTAATAATGTGCTACTCTATTTCCCTCACTCCTAGTAAGTTCTGTAGTAATAAGCAGAAGCTCTTCAGAATGCACACCACACGGAAGCAGAGGTACCCAGCATCCCAGCTATTGACATGAGACTTGAGAATGCCAGCTAACCTCAGGTGCATGACCAGGTTACAGCGTCACCCTACGGGAACCCTGTTCTGAGACCCCCTCTTTCTCATTTTCCTTTTTGCCTGTTGCCTGCTTGGATATTCTCTACCCTTGGGACACATTTGTCCTATTGGCAGGGCCCCCTCGCAGTCCTGGCAGTCATCCCCTTGGCGCCTCCTTGTGGTGGAACAACTGCTGAGCTGCTGCACGCACTGGATTGTTATGGCTCACTTGCCATATTGTGCCTGAGGCGAAAATCTGTAGAATGCTTATCTTATGAAGGGCTAAAACCCTAATTAAATATAACAACAACTACAGCATTCTAAGTCCAAGAGGATTACTGTGGGTTTACAGTGATGCCACACCATCCTCTGGCAGGAAATATCCACTAGTAGACTGCAGGCTAGGTCGTTTGAGTAACTTGTACATCTGTTTCCTAGAGAGGGAAGAATTCCCTTGCAGAGCAGTTGTACAGGCTCCCCTGGGCATAGTCCTCAGCTGGGAATGTGAGACGGTATACTCAGATCCTGCAGTCAATGGCCACAATGACCCTCTGTTACTTTCTCCAAAGAGAGACCTCTTTGTTGTCCTGGGGATAATCCTTGGCATCCTTCCAAACAACAAGGTTGTATAAATCTTCCTTTATATAAAATCATGTTTATTGATCAACATACGCACACAAAAAAACAAGGAAATAATGAAAACTTCAATGGGTCAGTGAAGAACCTATATTTTTTCATCAATGTATGTTTTCAATAATAGCTACCTAATCAGTTTAATAGCCATCAAATCAAGATGCTCTGTTGATTTCCAAAGAGGAAATGAAGTAAGAAAACTAATAAAACAAATGTTGCCTGGTTTAAAAGTTCTGGATTAGGATCTTATTTGTAACTTTCATACAATTATGTCAAAAGAAAGAGTGAAAATATTGCATTCTTTTCTAATTTGGTATGTTTAATATGTTTCTAATATGTTGATTTCACTTTAAAAGAGTTCTTGAGAATTTTTAAATAATAGTCATTGGCAAATATTCATGTAATTTAGAAGAACAGAAGGAGAAATGGTACCTAGAACTCATATAAACTTTAAGTGCTTTAAATGCTATTAAGATTTAGAGGATAATATTATTTTCACTTTTCATTTATTCTTAGAGATAATATCAAAATATTTCAAAGGAGCAATTTTTAAAATATTTTCATGAAAACAATTGTTTTTAAATATTTTGCTATTGTAAATGAGCCACGGTGGATTTGATACTTATTTGGGGTATCTTTTACTTTTTTTACTAATTGAGATATTTTTTAAGGAAAAATTAGATTCTATATCAAATGTTTTTGTGATATATTTATTAGTTTCCTGTTCATTTAACTGACCTAGGAAAGAGATATATCCTGAAAATTTGAAAAAATAATTTTATATTAACTAAAACGCAACCCTCTGTAGCAATTAGGATCAGTTTGTTCCAGAAAAGGTAATCGATTAGATCAAGTATAGTGAGAACACTTGTAATGATAGCCATGTCCACTTAAGCCACTCATTAATCTAAATCAAGGTGCGGAGGTAAGCATATGTTCCTGAACCAGATCATCATAAATTTCAATGATGAAACAGATGTGCTAACACTGAAAAAAAATTTGAGATTTTTACCAAAAAAAAAGCTTGAGGAGAGTAGACATTTTGGATACTATCCCTTGAAGGATTTGTTGAAATAATGTGAAGGCTGTAGAGGACATGTAGAACCTAGCCTGAGAATAAAAAGATGCAGTTTTATGATGTTATTGTTGCTGTTATTTAATGTAATCTACCATTTAATCACACTCTTGTGAAGTCCAGAAAAAAAGCCAATGACTGATGGGATTGTTTTAAAGGACTCTTGAACCTACCTGACTCCATCACAAAACTGCCCAGCCTGTTCTTTGCATGTGCTGTCAGCTAGTCGTGCTGGATTTAGCTACGTCTGCGTTTCCGAGGGGAGCTGTCAGTTGCATGGTCAATTGTTATTGTTCCCAGGACTCCCTGATCACCATAGTTCATTATTTGATTTGTTTTCATGTAAACACACATAAAACGTGGTGTCTTTTTAGAATATCATTTGTTAAGCAACTAGGCATGGAAAAATAAATGTTACTGTTTCTTGTTAGCTGCAAAACACATATCCACTAAACACATTTGCTGTTGGCATGCTGCAGTTGGGGACAGTGGACGTTGCGGTAAGTGGAAAAGACCAGGCCTCCACTTTGTCTCAGATAAACTCTTTCCATGAGAACACTGCTTCACGCCCCCAAAACGCTGCAGGTCCTGGCAGCTCCGCGTAGCTGCTCTAGTGACTGCCCTCCAGACCAGTGCCCTTCATGTCTGCAGGCCCTGGAAAGTCCTGCACTTCTTCCCTGATAACGGACACTTTCTAATAAATAGCAGCAGTTTCTAAATGAAACAAGAACACAAACAATATAGCTACACAAAGCTTCTTGTGGTTCATTTGATTCTCACAAGAATCCCCTAGTGGGTTATTACTGTTGTCTCCGTGTGAGAGATGAGGACTTCGGAACCCAAACCTTTTGGATTCCAATCTGCCCTTCCCACCACATCACCCCACATCTCCTGGTCAGGAGAACATGGAGATGCACTTGGATTTTTTTTAAATAATTTTATTGATTTCAGAAAGGAAGGGAAAGGAAGAGAGAGAAACATCAATGATATGAATCATTGATTGGATGCCTTCTGCACACCCTGCACTGGCAACCCTGGGCCCATGCCCTGACCAGGAATGGAACCGTGACCTCGTGGTTCATAGGTCAACACTCAACCACTGAGCCATGTCGTTTGGGCAGTACTTTGGATTTTATCGTTGTTGTTAATGTTTCCTTTACCAACCTACAACAGTTCCACCCTAGCTGAACAAATATAATTTACCAGTAGCTGCCACAGCAAATCAATAAAATTGTTTAAGAGCAGGCAATTGTGTTAGTGAACATGACGTCTCATTCCGTTCATCAGTCATCACATTCATTATATGTTGGGGCTGTTGTACCTTGTGTGGTTTCATCTCACAAGTATGAGTGTCAGCATAAAAGAAGTGCAGTGTTGTGTTGGTATGTTTAACATTACGTATGCAGTGCTACCAACTGCTATGAGATTGCATGAATTTATGGATATCGTAATCTTGCCTGGAATATAAAATGCATGCAGAATGTAGCTATCTATTAAACTATCTCCCTGTTTTCCTGTAGAAGTGTTTAGAAATTGCAAAAAGAGATGCTCCCAAATTTAAAAAAGTAACTTTTTTTTTATTAATCTCAAAAGTTAAGGTTAAAACTAAAATCTGTTTTGGAAGCGATGACCAAACTAGTTCTTGGTTACTTCCAGTGTAATTGTATGCAAAGTACTGCACTTGATCTCAGCTCTTTCTCTGATGAATCCAGAAAGGGTGTGTATACCTGTAGTATGAGATTATCATCAAATGAATGCAAACAGATTGAACAAAGCTCCAATTTTCAATAGGAGGAAAATATATGTCTATGCTCCTACTTGCTGAAAACATTTTATTTACTGAAGTGTATATGACCATATACCATTTCATCAAATTATTTACCCAAATGGCATGGAAGAAACTGCTTGAAATGGAATAATCGTGCCTCTGTTATCCACAGTCAGAAGCTAAGTTTTAAGGAGCGGGTGCGCATGGCTAGCCCAAGAGGCCAGAGTATTAAGAGCAGACAAGCCTCGATAGGTGACAGGCGGTCCCCGAGCACTGACATCACAGCCGAGGGCAGCCCCACCAAAGTGCAGAAGAGCTGGAGCTTCAACGACCGAACCCGCTTCCGGCCCTCGCTGCGCCTCAAAAGCTCTCAGCCCAAACCCGTGGTAGACGGTAAGCGCTGTTTTTCCATAACCGTTTTTAACCTGATAAGGCTACGGCGAGTGAGGTTATGAAGTAATTATTCTCCTCGGTACCCCTTGGAGATAGAAGGAAACAACCTTCAGGAAAGAATCGCTCGTTTGTCTTATTGGAAATGTATTCCTTGCCTCAGGCAAAGGTACGAAACCTACGTTCACTTTGGGAAGCAGTTCTGGCAGCTGAATCTCAGTTTCAGAGAAATCCAACAAAACGTTGTTAATCCTGACTCACATCTACAACACATTATCATTTATTAGACCAGGTCTGTGTCAAGATCAGCATGCCTGTCCTTTTGATGTGTATGTTATGTCTGAGGGGCAGAGGCCCGGCCTCTGAAGCACGCTCAGTGACGGTCTTGAAACCCAAAGAGAAGGGTAACAAGCCCCTTTTGGGACAGCAGTGAAGGTCCTGTTCTCCCATCTGCTGTGCTCTATACGCCAACAAATCAGAGGCCACCGCTTATCTTCCTTAGAAAGGTCCTGTTAAAAGTTCCTATCTGATGATAAGTGGGATTCAAGTCCTTCTCCCAAGAGGAACTAACCTATAATATTTTATTTATTAGACTACGTGTCAGACATTTACTTGCCAACACATTTTATCGAGTGCCACATCATTGTCGTGTTTATGAAATAAAACATTTTCTTTTTCGCTTAAGATTAGCTTGGCTTTCCTTTGAAGTGTGCCCCCCTGGGACCTCTTACGCTGGGCAAGGAACCAAAATCAAATGGCATCTTCCATTAATGCATGAACACTGCGAAGGCTATCAGTCCTTCTGGCCTCATTCCCTAACATAACCTGTGTTTTCCCAGGCCCCGAAAGCCCGAGGGATAAAATTAACAACCAGGGGTCATCATCTCCGTGATCTCAGGCTCCCTGCAGTGACATCCCTCCAACCTCAGCCCCTAGGCCCCGCCCAGCCCATTCAGAGATCCTCAGGGACTGTCCCCACTCTCAAGAGAGCAAAGTGAGTCCCCTCTTCCCACTTCCTTCTCCACAATCCCATGGAGGCCACACCCTCCCAGGAGAAGCCTAGCAGCTAAGCTGATGTGGCCCCTCTTGGGGGGCTTGCAGCTCCCATCCCAGGTGCAGGGTGCTGATCCCACCAGGTTTCCCGCCACCTGTCACTTCACTAAGGTAGGAAATGTCCCTCCACCAGCCCTCACTCCTCCATCGGGGAGTGTGCTGAGGCCCTGGCAACACAGATTTTCAGCTTCCCCTGGTTTTCACACTCAACTCCCTAGGAATCTGGCTGAAAGCCCATGAACAGCTGAGTCAAGAGTTACCAGTTACAGGGCTTTCTGTTGCTCTCAAAATAGGCTGTCTGAATATAAATGAATGTCTCGTTTCTGGAAGGCAATTTGGCAACATATATCAAGAGCCTATACATATGCTTGGACACACCCCACCCACCAACTGCACTTCTAAGATATGGTTGATGCAATGAAATGATATCAGATATTAGAAGTGATGTTATAAATTAAAAATTATTAACATGGAAAGATTATCACAAGAACTAAATGATTCCATTTTGCTGTGTGTGTAAATTTAAGTATTTACAGTAAAGTCTGGAAAGATTGGCAATGTATGACCTCCAAGTGGTGCAATTATAGTTATATTTTATTTCTTCATTTTGTTAACCTGTATTTCCACCAAACCCTTCTCCTTACATTGATTTCCCCTCAAGTGGAAGGAACACCAGGTCTAGTCATGGAAGATAGCCTTCTTGAATGTAGACACGATTGTCTAATGAGGTTTAACAGTTCCTACAACAAATAAGGCTGCCCCATTAGGCTTTATGGCTGCCATAACAAAGTGCCACAGACTGGATGGCTTAAACAAAAGAAATTTATTTTTTCCCCTTCTGTAGGCTAGAAGTCTGAAATCACCTTGGCTTATAGATGGCCACCTTCTCCATGTCTTCGTCTTCCCTCTATGTCCAGATTTCCTCCTTTTATGTGGACACCAGTCCTATTGGGTTAGGGATCATGCAAATGCCCTCATTTTAACCTAATCTACCTCTTTAAATATCCTATCTCCAAATAGGTTGACATTCTGAGGTACTGGGGATTAGAATGCAACCAATGAATTTTGAAAGGATACAATTCAGCCCATAACAGAGCCCCAGTTCACCACATCACAGCATCCCAGAGCAAGCTGGGGTGTGCCTGCATCTTCAGGCCTCGCCCTGGCTTCTCGCTGTGCTGGGAGAATAAATTAGCCCAATGGGTTCAGACCCTTCCTGTGTGGGCTTCAAAAAGCATTCGACTGTGTGCTGTGAGGTCCTTAGGGTGAGCTGTACACATCTACATATAAAATTTATTCAACCTGGATTCTGAATATGAAAAATGAATTGTACTTGTATGTTTGGCCAGAGGAAAAGCATTTTTCACGGATTCCAAGAGTCGGCACTATTCATCCCAGTACTTGCAGTTACTGCAAAGATGCCTCAGAGTTCAGACAGACAGAAACATAAGTCCTACTCTACCAGATCACACATCTGCCATCCATTTTCTACATCATCCCGTACAAGCGCAGTTCTGTTTCGTTAGAAAGGAATTGCTTTCTCTGAGTAATGTCCTGCTCGATTGGTTCTGAGTTCCCCAAGTGACGGGAGGCCTGATTGTTGTTCTGTTCAAGTAGCTTTGTTGGCTGCCCTCCTGGAAGAGATCATGACTCCTGACGCCTCATTGCATCCAACAGTCTGGAATCTTTACCTCTGCCTTAACTCAAAGTTAGGTCTTGGGGAAACAAGTTCTCTTTTTATTTAAAAAAAAAAAAAATGAAGCAATTTTCAATCAAGTGAACTTTACTCCTGAATTATGCATTTTTATTTATAGTGCCTGTCCAGGTTTTAAGTTTTTCTAAAATCCACCTATTACTCATAGAAAATAATACATAACACTATAGCCAACCCCCAAATACAAATTGGGGGAAAAGTAGGTTGACAGTTGTGCAGATAGAAAATAATACAATAATTAACAAATAATAATCCAAGAATAAACTCTGTTTTACATACTCACAACTGTAAACCTTCTTTTATCCCACCCTGGATTCCAAATCCGTTTGCTCACTCACTTCATAGGTTCTCTTCTTCCACTTCCCTCCTTTCTTTACATATTTTAGGTATTTCACTGCCCACTAACAGCTCTGGCAGGGTGGATGCATAGCAGAAAGAATTATGGAAATTCAGGTTGACCTTTAAGTTAATAACTAAGTTACATTTGGAAAATAATGGGCCTGTAATGGAAAGATACTATAATAGGAAAAAAAAGAAATTTGGAGTTAATCTGTAAATGTTAATAATTCCTGTGAAATCTAAAACCCTTTACTGCAGCCCTGGCCTGTTTGGCTCAGTGGATAGAGCATTGCCCTGCAGACTGAGTAATCCTGAGTTTGATTACGGTCAAGGGCACATGCCCAGGTTGTAGGTTCAATCCCCAGTAGGGGGACATGTGGGAGGCAGCCAATCAATTATTTCCTTTTATCATTGATGTTTCTATCTCTCTCTCCCTCTCCCTTCCTCTTTGAAATCAATAAAAATATATTTTAAAAAAATAAAAATAAAACCCTTTACTGCGGATGATATTATTTTTACAATTTAATGGCTCTTACAAAAGGTTATTAAGTATCCCATGCTGCTTTTCTTTGCTATAAATTTCTATGAAATTTATGTATTATACTTAAAAGGGCTACAATTATCTCCTAATATTCCACATTCGTATGTACCAGAGAAGTGGAAAATAATAGATGTTGAAGCCAGAAATTTACAAATGGCAAAAAGGAGTTCTGGTTGGTGTGGCTCAGTTGGCTGAACCATCGCCTTGTATACTGAAAAGTTGCAGGTTCGATTCCACGTCAGGGCACATATCCAGTTTGTTGGTTTGATCCCCCCATTTGGGCATGTACAGGAAGCAATGGATGGATGTTTCTCTTTCACATCCATATCTCTTTCTATCTATCTATCTTTCTCTCTTCCTCTCTTTAAAATCAATTTAAAAAATAAAAGCACAAATGGCAAAAATTAAGGAGTAAACTATAAAGGACTAGTGTGGTACTGCCATAGAAAATTTATTTTGATCGAAATGATATGAATAGTAGTTTCAGTTTATAAATCTAATAATATGAGAGAGGAATGATTCATTAGTTAATCAATAGTAGTTAAGCTCCTTCATACAATTTTTAATTAGATAGGAATATCCTCTAGGTTCATTCATGTTGTTGCAAATGGCAAATGTCTTTGCTTTTTAAGAATGAATAATAATTTATTGTATAATTATACCATAATTTCTTTCACTATATATATGTATATAAAGTCATCATGTTGTACAATTTAAATATACAATTTTATTTTTAAAATAAAAGAAATTAGGTAGGTTAAATGATAAAAGTAACATTTATTGGATCCTTCTCTGTGGTGGGCATTGTTCTAAATGCTTTATTCCTATTACTTAATTTAATCCTTTCAATACCTCTATACTATACACACACACACACACACACACACACACACACTGAGTGGCCAGATTATAATGATCTCTGAATGCATAATAATCTGACCACTCAGTGGATGAATTCATGCATGGGTGGGGTCCACCCAGCCTGGCCATGGAGAGGGAACATGGGTGGCTGGCCAGCCAGCCTGCTGGTCAAACTACTGATTGAGAGAACAATTTGCATATTAGCCTTTTATTATATAGGATATAATATATAGAATATAATTATATAAGATCTCTGTGTTCAGAGATCATAATAACTTGGTCACTCGATATATATTTTTTTTTCTTCTTTTCTTTTCTTTTTTTTAATATTATCATCCTCATTTTATGGTTGAGGAACTTAAGACTTAAAGCTAAGTCACTTGCCCAAAGTCTAACAGATTGAAGTAAGGGAGTCACAGTACACACCCACGCAGTCTATTTTCATAGTCCTCCTGGAGGACACTGTCTCAGATGTTCTCCCAGATGTCATATCAA